CAGGGGTTACTTACAATTTTATTTTAAAGGGGTACTTTATAAAAAAAGATTGAGAAACACTGGTCTAGTGCTTAGAGCAGTAGGCCCAGAAGTCAGAATGCTTGTTTGCTTGTAGTAGTTATGAGAGCCTGGGTTTTAATGATTATTATATCATTGTGGTGTTTTCCATCCAAAGATAAAGTATTTTACAAAAAAGAAGCATGACAGCATCTCAGTAGTGTGGTACAAAATTAATGTTAGAGTCAATTTGCAGATCTACAAACTGCCGCACAAAGAAGTGACGGGACATGCCTTTCTGATTTCAGCAGAAATTCAGTGTTTCAGTGTTTACGGGGTTGCAATAAGAAATAAGAATAATTGTCTCAAGGCAAACTTTTTTGCTCCGAGATGAAGGGCCCATACACAGTATAGCCTCAGAGTTGCGAAAATGGCGATCGGGGCTTTTTTGCAGAAAACCACATCTAGATTGGCCACGGACACTTTTCTGCAAAAAGTGCATTTGCGGAAAAGCGCCCTGCCAATCCAGACGTGCTTTTCCGAAAATGCTTTTAATGGAAAACTTTTCCGTTAAAAGCATTTTCGGAAAATCATGCCAGTGTAGACGTAGCCCAGGTGTTTGTTTCACATTGCTTTTTTTTAAACCAGTTATTTTCCATGTATATTCCTTAATAAAAAAAAATCAGCTGGCATTATGAAATGTCAGTGCACATCCATGCATTCACTGCTCCTTTCTTCAGGCCACTGATCTCTAGCCAGCTCTGCTCTTCATACATCAGCCATGTGGAAGTATTTGTTCCCTTTCCTAGCATATCTTTAGAAATACAGTATTTACTGTCTCCTCTTGTGAACCCTGTTATTATTCAGGCAATAGGCCAAATCAATTCTCATGTAGCTTCATGAAGATCAGGGGAATGACAACAAAGAGGAATGTGTCTCAATGGGCTAGATTTTCATCTGTCTGGTAAATTCTAAGTAAAGCCAGGTCTACACTAAAAGGGGGTGTCAAAGCAAGATTTGCAATTCCAGCTACATTAATTACATAGCTGGAGTTGATGTACCTTGTTTCGCATTTCCCTGCTGTCCTGTCAGCTCCCCTTACTTCTTACACAAGCAGGAGTATTAACAGCCAGCAGGGATGCCTTCTGAGTTTGATTTAATGAGTCTCAAGTAGACTCACTAAATCAAACTCAGGAAGATCAATCGCAGCAGCGGCATTGTTCCGTTTAGTGTAGACATGGCCTAAGTCTATTGAAGAAAACAGACTTGCTCTAGATTTACGTCACTAAGGGTACAACTACATAGCAGGACAAAAGTCGAATTAAGATACACAACTTCAGCTAGCTATGTCAATGGCATACCTGAAGTTGAAATAGCTTAATTCAGCTTTTGGCCCTGTCTACATAGCAGGAAGTCAAAGGAAGAACACTCTTCCTTCAACTTTCAGGAAGTCGGCATCAGAAGCCCCCTATCTCAAAATAATGGCTAATTATTTTGAAATAATGCTGCTGTGTAGATGTACCCTACATGAGAAAAGAGCATGGCCCAATTTACCTCTACCACTATCAGGATAAGGAAAACCATTCAGGATAAAGTGACTGCTGACCCAACATTGCATCCAACACACAACCCAACCCAAAATTAAGAAAACTCTGTTACATGGATTTGATTCTTGCCTCTACTCTGCCCTGCCTGGTTTTGAACAGAACCAGACAAGGAAGGGTTGAACTATTGCTTGAAAGTATGTTTTTAAACTGGCATGGCGTATGGCCATCTTTAATGGGAGCCTATGATTCTCAACCCAGCTTTGCAAACTCAAGAGCTTTCCGTAGCTAGGCAAATCTTTCTGAGGTTCTTTTATCATTTGCCACAGCAAATTCCTAATGCACACTTGCACTGATCCTAAAAAGTTACTGCATTTAACCCAACCATTTGCCCTTAATCATCTCACAGGCTTTCCTAAAAAGAATAAAACCCACTTTTTTGCCATGGTAGTTGTTGACTTGACTTGCTCATCCTATAACTGTTCTTATTTTTGTCTCTACACATCAGTATCAGATTCTCCCTTCGGTGTTACCAGGGCAACCCTATTGACTTCACCCTACACACAATGCCTTTGCCCTACACCCTGCAGATAGCCACAGCTCCTTCATTTTTCAGAAATGAAACAAAGGCTTTAGGCAAACTCCAAGCCATTGGACATGGTCAAGAGGAAGGATAGTGTTGTGGGGTGAAGGCTTAGTGGCACTGGGACTATGACACAGACTCATGGTACACACTTAGGCAAATCACTTATTTCCATGCCCAATTCCTCCACTGTTAACAGGGATAATTAAAAAATGCAGCAATGCTAGGTCAAGCTGATTGTCATCAGGAACTGCTGATTTGTCAAAACCAGAATGACTCATGGGAACATACAGGTTCAATGAGACTCTGAGCAAAGATTTCTCAGGGTCAGCCTGGAATTTCTGGTCAAAAGCAGAGACAGAAAAGGGGAGATCTTTCTACCACAGAATAGTCAACAGTGTAGTGGTAAGGATGTGTAAAACTTAAGCTAAGTCCCTGCTTTAGAGTATACAATGGCACTCTGTTTTTTTCACATCCCAGGTGATTTCTCTAACCACCGCGCTATTGGCCACTTTAACAGGCTCCTCCCTTCGTGGCGGGGGTGTGTGTGTCTCACAGTATTTACTCACCTATCTGTGAACAAGGCAATGTCCAGTCAGTGGCCGGAGATCAGGCCTCTTCATTTACCCCACGGGTGTGATGTGCAGTGTGGTTGGGGGGGACCCAGGCCTGCCCACTCCTCTGGGTCCCAGCCCAGGGACCCTGTAAGTAGCAGTTACCTGCTGAGTTTCAATGTACTTAGTTGCTGTCACATCCCTGGACCACTTCCCCGGGATGCTGTTCCATCTGCCCTTCTCTAGGGCCTTGTGGCTGAGTTCTCCTTGTCCAGGGTTCTGCAGGATTGTCTTTGGCTTTTTTTTTTTTTTTTTTGGTTAGACTTTAGCTGCAGGATCTGGCTCTGATCAGGTAGGATGCCCAGCTCTCACTCAGAGCTGTCCAGAGTGCTGGTGTTCCCCAGTCAGCCCTGAGGTCTGCCTGGGTCGAGCTCCAGGAAAGAACTGATGGGCATTATCTAGCCGCTCCTTTTATAGCAGCCTGCTGCACCCTGATTGGCTGCCACGAAGGCTGCCACTCTATTCTGCCCAGAGGACCTCTCTACTGCTCCGGCTGCTGTCCAGGATGCTGAAAGGACTCCAGCGGGGATGTTGGGCTTTGTCCAACCTATCACAGCCACCCTGAAACGTTCATTATATGTGCCAACCAAGGCTTTGATAGAACTCATTTTGTCTCAAGGAATAACAGAGGGCATTTTCTAACTCTCAAAAATATTCACAGGCTGGGAAAAACATTTCCCTTCCAGCTCTAATTGTGAGATTAAATCCATTAACATATGAGAGACACTCACTCCTGGAGCAACAATAAATACATGCAAAAAAAGTGCTTTATGCCTCAGCTTGGGCTTTACAAAATGTTATTCCCCTAAGATCAGCAGAGCTACCCCTAAGGTTAAAATTGGCTCAGTATGAAAAGAAATACTCATGGTTTTCAAAAATAATTTAAGAGTTTCTCTCAATACTCCCCGCCAATGCTGAAGCCCATACACAATAGTGTTGTACTGTTATATAAAGATCTGGAGCTATGGAGAAAGTAAAACTGACCAGTTTAGTTTTACTATCCGAGCTGAAGGACAACCTACAAACGCTAACCAAATAGCACCAATGCCAAAAAAATAGATGAGACGTCCAACATGCTTTTAATTTTGATTCTGGGAGCTCTTATTAGTAACTGAAGTAGTGCTCCTTATTTGCGGTGACTCGTATTCACTGTCTGTTTATTAACAATTGCTTGCAAATCACTTTTTCTGAAGTTTGGCTGCCTCTTAATAACCCTAGATGAAAAGAATGTTTAATATTCGATCAGTGTTCCCAGGGATCCTTTTAACAATATTGCTACCTCAGGCCCCCAAAATAGGCATCACATGGATGGCAGAGACCCTAGCGCTCAATGCTACACCATTATCAAACTTCTACAATTTCACAGATGAATTTTCCCCAGCTCTGTTCCCTCTGGCCTACATCTCTACCCCGCAGGCTGGGAGGCCAGGATGCTGACCAAGTCTAGCATTTGCACCTGGCCAGATCTTTTCACCTCTAAATCCCTCTCTTTCACTCTGTAGCTCAGGGTGCCGCAAGGGGAAAAGAGTATCCATACGCTGGACCCTTTCACCCACTTTTTCCTTTGTAGCAAACTAAACACTTGATATAAGGGGACCGGCCAGATACAAATTCTCTCCTAAGAACTCAACCACCTGAGGGCAGTGGAGAGGTTTGTTTCTTAGCCACTATGCTCACCTTTCTCCACTGCCGCAGTAACCATTCTCTTGTAGAGTCCTGCACAGGATTTAGAAGTTCTATTTCAGCTTTCTCCAAGACCGGACTCTCGTTCCTCCAGGCTGCTGACTTAGGGTATATTTGCACTGCAAATGGCCACCAGCAACTGCCAGGTTCAGAGCCCAGTCTCCAGACTCTGGAGCTCTGAAGGTTGGGGAGGACAGGCGGGCTTCAGTCTGTAAGCGATGCAGGTTCAGAGAAATAAAATGTAGTGGGCCACATTCACTGGCACATGTCAGCTGCTCTATCCCACTCCAGAGGCACAAATGTGCCATAAATTCACTATTACCTGCCACCGGAGATCATTCTAGGGCTGATTTGTGTTGTTAGAGTGAGGCGAGGCTGCTGGAAGATACCAGTGTGCCAGGCCCCCTCGTTATGAAGGTAAACCACATTCTGAATCCCCAAGAAAGGAGCCAATGATTCCTTTCTAGGAACAGGATTTATTAGACTAACTTGCCACATTTCTGTGTGCCTAAACATAAATAGCTTTTTCCTGCCTGCTACACAAGAGGCCCGTCTACCAAAGAGGCAAGGGTGAACAACATGGTTGAACAATATGAGAGGTAGGGCTCTGTGCTCATCACAGAGGTCACTGAAGTCACGGATTCCATGATTTTCCACAACCTCCATGACTTCTGTAGTGGCCAGTGTGACTAACCCCAGGGATGGCCAAACAGCAGGCTCCAGGGCCATGAGGACAGCCACACTGGATGCTGCTGGAGTGGCTCTGGGAATAGCTCCCTGAGGCAGCTCCCCCACCCGACTGCACCAGCTGCTGTTAGGCATACCAGAACACAAAGTATCTCAGATATTTCATATCTGTATCATGCACATATTTTCATAAGAAGCCAGGAGTGTAACGTCACACATACCATAAATGTTATGAATGTAGGCTGGTCCCTTACAAAAGTATCCCCATAGCATTTTATACTGGAGCATTTCCATCCTGGGGCAGTGCTGCAATCCTTACTCACGTGAAGACCAAAAGCATTTTGCTTGAGTCAGATCTTGAAGGGCGAGCCTCGGGACAGATGGAACGCTCTGAATTTTTAATTGCCTACATTCCCTCCGGGATTGGACAGCAGGGACAGAAGAAAGATTTATCCCAAGAAAGATAAATTTGCTATTTAAGAGCAGATAGGCCAAAATTACATGACACGTATCCATTTCTTCAGAAGAACCTGTAGCTCATAAATAGCATCAATATTAGTTTTATCTCCTTATAGAGGATTTAATAATAATTTTATTGTAAAGGGACCCTTCCATAAAGATGCTTGAAGTGCAGTCGAATTAAAATACTGCAGGTGTAAAAATACTTGCTGTGTACATAGGACCAAATAAGAAGGACATGAGGGGTGGGGGACTCTTGAAATCAGGTACTTGAAATTCAAGTAATCACGGAGAACCATGCTGCATTGCTCTCTTGATTAATTATTCACTTTTAAAAGACGTTCAATTACCCCATAAGAACTAGCTGGCTCAGCAGACCAAAGAGAAGCTTTCATGCACCAAAAAGACTTGAGTATATAAAGGCTTACCTCTAGCTCTTTATTTCCTGAAGAAAATTCTGTTCAAAATAATTTATGCTGTGATGTCTCAAAGAAATCTTGGTTTTCATATGCTGAAACCCTTACTAGCCTCAGAGAAACAACCTAGCAACCTCCACTGTCTTCCATGTTCTGTGTCAAAATGAAATGACATAAAAAAAGATACTCTCCTCTGCTGAAGAAGGTATAATGAGAGTCCAAGTCTCACTTATCTGAAACTCTTAAGGAGAGTACAAGCTTGTAAGTGAAGTCTGACTAATCAAAGTCCTACTATAATTAAAATGCAGTGCAACCCCCATCTTCATTACTGGCATTTGTTAAAAAAGAAAATTAGAGAGGCCCTAACATGAAAGCACCAGGGAAGTAAAACGTGAGGCCAAGAGTGGACATTCAGAACAGCATTCTGGGGAAAGAAAAGCCTTACTCGTATAACACAAATGAGCAGATGGAGAATGGGTTCAACATTTTGTGTCCCCAGCACAGCAGAGTCAACTAAGACACGGTGGTGGGAACCCTAAAAGGCAGAAGGCATGGACATTCTCACCTGGACTGTAGGCAGCTGTAGATTCCACCACTGACTAGAACATATGTATTTTCAGAAGTGCTCCACCTCACTCTGCTCCCATTTAAGCCAATGGAAGTTTTGTCTCCTCCCACAAGAGGGGGCATAACAGGTCTGAATAAGCAGGCTGTGCACCACGAAAGCTCATGATCCCATCTTCATGTTTTGTTAGTCTTTAAGGTGCTACCAGACTATTTGTTGTTTTTTAAGTTTTTCCTGTTACAGGCTAACTTGGCTACCCCTCTGAAGCTTTAGGTTCACTATTGTTTACATGAGTTTGTGTGCAAGCTGAACGGGCTACAAGAGACGGAGAAGTGCTTCTGGATGCTCCCTTGAAAAGGAATTGTGGCCAGGCTAACATCAGGAATAAGGCATAAACCATCAATAAGACAGAACAAAGAGACAAACTTCTGTTCTCCATTCCAGTGGGGAGGGGGAGGAGGAGAAGTTCACCATCCAATGAAATCAACAGTTATCTAACTTTGCCTCTGTGTAAGCCATTGTTCCCCCCAGGCATTTTCATACTGTATGTCAAACATTCTGCTAGGCACCATAGGCATCTCTTAAGTTCTGGTCCTGCATGAATGATCAGAAAGACACTTTGTTTTGTTCCTGAAATCCAAGCACCACCCATTTGAATCAAGACGGAAGCTCTATCCCAGGCCAGTGTGCAGGACCAGCCAGTGTGCAGGACCAGGGGTTGCCACCTTGCATTAGGGATGCTGATGGGAAGAGGAAAGGTGCGTAGCTGAGGAAGTATATCTGCTGTGGCCTATTTCAAGCGGAACATCCTGGGGCAGTGACCTCATTTATCGTGCCTATTGCATGTGAGCAATTGTATTGAAGTCAGTGGAACTACCCATGTGCTTAAAGTCATGTGCATGGTTAAGGAGCTGGCTTAATCAGGACTTCAGGGGATATCCAGATAAATTGTTTCTCGTGGGACTTTTGCTGTTCTTCCAGTGATATCTAGCAGCCAGGGCCCCATTGTGTTAGACACTATCCAAATGTTTAAGCAAAAAGCCTACCATAGTTGAACAGGTAAATTGCTACCATACAAAGCATGTAACTTGCCATTCTGGAAACATAGCTTACATATTACTAGTTCAAATATAATGCAAACCTGGCTGATGTTGGAGCTGTCGAAGAAGCGCCTCTCCAGTAACAGTAATCTTTTGACAGGCCCTTAATAAAAGCATTTTCACTGATTAATAATAGTATCTGCCACTTTCACTTGAGAAAATCTTCATCCATAGTTCGACAGTTGCATCAATAAAAGTGAGAGTATACTGCTCACGCCATTTTTTGCACTTAGAAACAGGCCTGAGTTACACCATTCTAGCTTCAGAGCCAACGTTTCTCAGTTGGGCTCTTCAGTACCAGGTCGAGTTGTGGTTAGAAATAAGGCAAGCACTCAAACTATTTGCATGCATAGAGTTAGGGAGAAAAATCTGCCCCACACACATCTCAGAAAGACAGTCTCCAGGAGGAAAAATTAAAGCGATTGTCCCTACTTTTGGATGTACTGCAGCTCTGCTCAGCTAAATTAACTCAATTTTAAAGCAGATCTCAAATGGGGAGAGGAAGGAGGGGAAAGAAGCAGGATTCTGCACTGCCTCAAACCTTACGATATGCACCAGCTTTTTCCTCGTTCTTGTCCCCTTCCTTTCTCTCTCAATGATAAGTTATGACATGATCAGCTATATCTGTCACCACCTCAGCTTGAGCATTGCAATAAAATACCCTATGGAATATCACTGGTAACTTAACTGCTAGGTGCAATCAACCAACATTGCTCCAGCCGAGAGACTTCAATAAAAAGACATGAAGGATCACTTTGAAAAGGCAAAAGTGGAAGGCATGCAACATACAGAGTTTCATACATTTTTTAAAAAAAGCTTGGAACCACTAAGGGCATCTCTACACTAGGAAATTATTTCAAAAACTTACTTTGAAATAATAACTCCTGAACTATTTCAAAATAGCGTGTCCACACTACAGAGAAGCCTCGAAATTAGTCCGAGGCGGACTCCCTTAAAGTGGATGTACTACCTCGATTTAGAGCCCCAGGAAGCACTCAGGAGTCATTACTTTGAATGACTCTGGGGAGTAGTTATTTCAACATAGCAGCAGTAGAGCATCCACAGTACTATTTCGAAATAAGTGTTATTCCTCATGGAAAGCGGCTTGATAGTGTGGATGTTTCACTTCTTATTTTTAAATAAAGGGAGTTCTTTTGAAATAAAAATCAGGGATCCTAACAATCCTTCCACTAATGGATGCTCCTCCTATAAAGTGGAGGAAGTAAAACTGGAGAGCTGGAAAATACTGCAACATTCTTACCGGCACATCTTAGAAGCATGTGATGTTTGAGATTTTGAAACCACGACAAAGCCCAGACTTGCTGGTGAAAGTGTTCAAATCCTTTAAAGTTAGGTTCCTATGCCTGTTTAGACTCCTAAATACAAAAGGAGGAATTCTGAAAGACATTCCATCAATTTCAGTGGGGGTTGTGGGGGCTCATCGGATGTAAGAATCGGTACTTTCATAGAGGTGCCTGAAGGTGGATTTAAGCACCTTATCTTCAGTCATCCAGGATTAGAAATGTTGATTGCAATCTCTAAATTGGAACTTCATAGCTTTTATGACAAACCCTGAGGGGGTAGAACAAGTGCTGTATGTAGATCAATGCACTTTTTAGTGATTTTATTGTCACAAAACTTTATCCATATAAACCAAATTTCCTAGAAGAGGGACTCCTGGCCAGATTGCAGTGACACATGTGCTAAATGAAACTAAAAAACCGCATGTATCTCTCCCCTTTGGTATATGGTATACTTGCAACTGACATATTATCGTGTTTGTAAAACCAGACAGCTAGCAAACAACCGTTCTGGAGATGGCATTGGCACTGTTATCGTCATCATCATCAAACATGGGCTCAACGCCTGTTGGAGTCTGATGCCTCCCTCGCTATTTCCTTCCATCTTTCCCTGTCCGGTGAGGAGTGGCTTAGTTTCTGTAGACTAGCTCCACACCAATCTACTATATCACCTACCCATTCTCTCCTATTCGGACCATCCATTATGCTGAATACCAGGGCCTTAACTTTTCGCTCATTGTTCATTCTGCAGATTATGCAGAGATGCAATTGAGTCCCTTATATGTGATCTGATAGGGGCTGAAATTCACTATGGAAACCCTCAGCCCCTTTACAAAAGGCACAGCTCATTGTATTCTAGTAACCCCTTTGGTGAATCCAGAGAGTAGCAGTTATATCCTCTGGGGGATGCAAGTTAACCGTCTCCTGTTGCAGGAAAGCTTGTAATGATTTGTGGGCTATTAAGCCAGAGAAGGGCAGCAGAGAGTTAGGCAGGGGACAAGGAAGAATGGGAAGATTTTTATAAACCCTAAGGAAGCCTTGGACATCTTCCAAAGGGGGAAAGGCTTAGGC